TGGCTTTTTAGAAGATTAAGGGAAATCCACCAAATATAGGTTTATCTAGTAGCAATGATGGCCAGATAGAGCCCCTGTGTTCCAAAGAAGCATGCTGCTAATTAATAGGTGCTAGGGGTGAATAAGTGGGGAATGCAGGATCTCAATGTCCTGTTTGTGCACTGCCTGGAGACACAATTTGGCCTGCCACTGATGGAAATGGAGTAAGATGAGCCTTGGTCCACACCAGCAGTGATTTTCCTACCACCAAAGGAAACTTTCTGCTTGCCTGTCTTATAAAGAGAAGTGGTATATAGTTGTTTTCTTGATCTGGGGATGTCTACAGTGACAAAAGTTTGATTTCCCTGCCTTAAGGGTCTTGCGATTACAGGACCAATCACAGACTAAGTAAAAAGTTACTTCAATTTACCTGATCCCATCTGCTTTGTTTGCACTTTAGTGGAGCCACTGCGTCATAATTCCATGCCCACTGCCACATATATACTACTAAAGCTGTAGCTCCATCTTACCTTATGGTCTAACTCACTCTCCCCTTCCATGCTATTCTGAGATGTGAATCAGCCATTCCTCTTCCTGCCCTGCCTAGCTGATTTGCATAACACATTTTGATTGGTTGTATGGAACAGTGATTTGGGTTTGGGTTTTTTTTTAAGAAGGATTATTTGTGTAACAATCATGTGCATTAGTTACCACAATGACTTGCATACATAGCCATAGTGCTTTTTTTGGAGAAATAGTATCAAAATCACAGAACATCAGATTGTCAGCTTGCTGACCGTAGCATCATTCACGCGCATAAATTTGTAATAAACTTACTTATTATGCCAAAGAAAAATAAGTTTACTAACATAGGCTTGGAGCAAGTATTTAAATTTCAGACGTAAGCATAGTTATGATTTTAGAATGTGTGTATTCACATTGACATTTTCCCTTCAAAAATATGTGTAATACGCACTGCTTCATTTATTTATGAATACTAAAATTTCTGTCTTGCCTTTCCACACTACGCATCCAAGGCAGCTAGCATAAAATTTAATGCAATCAAACTACAAGATAATAAAAACAAATATACCAAAAACATGTAGAAAGAACAGATATTCCACCCAATAGACCAGAGACCTGTCTAAACAAGAAGTTATTTGCCTGGCAGAGGAACACCATTAAAGAGAGGAGACGGATTTCCCTAGGTTTCCAGAGCCTGGACGCAGCCACTGAGAAGGCCCTCTCTTGTATTCTGCCAAATGTACCTCTGATGTTGGCAGCACACAGAGAGGCTCCCATCCCAAATATCTGAATTATGTAGGCAGGTTTCTGTATTTTGGAAAAGGCTATTTAATTTGCTTATGTAGCTTGCATTTCCTTCCTTGCAAGACCTGAAATGCTGAAACTCTTGAACAAATCTGTGCAATGACCATTACTGCTGTAAACAAAATGTGTCAGTTTATCTGAAGAGTTTGTATATTTGTACGTCACATCGTTTTCAAAGTCAAAGCACTCCTATTTTTGTTGATTTTGGTGGATTTTGCTTAGTGATAGTTGCAATAGTCCTAGAAAGAATTAAATGTTGGAAGAAGAAGATCATCCTCATTCGGAAGGAAATATTTAGATGCAGTTTTTGTGTAGATGATTATGTCACAAACTTCAAAACAGCTCACAATTAGCAGTGGCAACATTTATTAGGTTATAAAATTGAGTGTTTTAAAACCTATTGATTGATAAAGTGTTCTCAGTTAAACAACTAGCAATTTATTATTATTATTTTACAATGCAATCCTATGCAGGTCTACTCAGAAGTAAAGGCTACTGTGCTCAATGTGGCTACCAGTACCGGTAATTCCTTTTTAAAAAAATAAATTTTATTAGAGTTTATAAAGAAACTCTAAACTAAAACATTAATCCAGAGTAAAAAAGAGAGAGAAAAAGAACAAAGAAAGAAAGAAAGAAAGAAAGAGGAAGGGATAAAGAAATAGAAAAGGAATTAAAGGAGAATATGAGAAAAAAGCGAGAGACGAGAGAAAAAAGTTCAGAATCTAAAGAATTTCTGATTCTTCATCTCTCCACTATATAAACATTATTCATTTCATCCACTTCAGTATAACATCTAATAAAGCCACTCTATATAAAACATCATCTTCAGTCCTCAGATCCAAATGTCATTATTTCTTTTTCTTTTTCATGCAAAGTCTATGAGAGGTTTCCAATCTTTAATAAATGTTAACAATGTGACTAATTCCAAGATGACAGGGTCATCTTAGAAGAGAGATTCTTCATTTTTTGACAAACAGGAAATAATGTCTCTTCTAAGTCAGTTACCTGCAACAATATGTGCAAACACTGCATAAAACGAAGTTATTTTTCTTCAGAATTGATGTTTTATTCATGTGCAAATATAAGCAGACTTAAATCAATTAATTAAATACAAGTCATAGATTAACTGATTAAAATATTTTTAATTGGATAGCATACAATTATCAAGGATGTTTATTTATTTGTTACAAGTTAGCATCATTTGCAAGGGGGGGGTTTGAATTCTGCAACTGATAAACCATGCATATTAAAGGAATAGTTTGCATTATCTGTTCAGTTTCTACTAGTCATGGAAAAGGGCAAAGAGTGAAGCATGGCACCAAAGCAAATCTGTGGTCTGAGGGCTTTTGCAGATGACTTAGTATTGACTTTACAACAGCCAGACACTAGTACGAAAAGAGTTTTAGAATTAATTCAAGTATTTGGTCAAGTGGCAGGATTTAAGTTGAATAAGCAAAACCCTAAAGTTTTGGAGAAAAACTTAACAAACGTCGAAAAAGAGAGGTTTCAGAGTGAAACGGGATTAATGGTGGCAAAGAAAGTGAAATACTTGGGGATTAATTTGACATCTAAGAATGTGAATTTGTTTAAAGACAATTATGATAAATGTTGGACAGAAGTAAAGAAAGATCTAGAAATATGGTCAAATTTGAGACTTTCCTTGTTGGGCCGAATTGCTATTATTAAGATGAATGTATTGCCAAGAATGTTATTTCTGTTTCAGACATTGCAGATTGTGGACAAAGTGGACTGTTTCAGGAAGTGGCAGAAAGATATATCTAAATTTGTCTGGCAGGGCAAAAAGCCCAGAATAAAATTTAAGATATTAACTGATGCAAAAGACAGAGGGGGGTTTGCCCTGCCGGACTTAAGACTCTATTATGAATCGGCAGCTTTCTGCTGGTTGAAAGACTGGCTACTTCTTGAGAATACAGACATTTTGGACCTGGAAGGGTTTAATAATAGATTTGGTTGGCATGCATACATATGGTATGACAAGGTAAAAATTCATAAAGGGTTCAAAAACCATATTGTCAGGAAAGCACTATATAATGTTTGGATTCGCTATAAAGACTTGTTGGAAAACAAAACACCTAGGTGGTTGTCACCAATGGAAGCTAAGGAGGTGAAAAAACTTAATATGGAATCTAAATGGCCAAAATATTGGGAAATTTTAGAGCAAGATGGTGAAAAAGTTAAATTACAGAGTTATGAGAAACTGAAGTTTAAAGTACGAGATTGGCTTCATTATCATCAAATAATGGAGGTGTTTAAACAAGACAGGAAAATTGGCTTCCAGGTGGAGAGGTCAAAGCTAGAAACTGAATTGTTAGAACCCAATACTAAGAATTTGTCAAGAATGTATAACCTGCTGTTGAAGTGGAATACACAAGATGAAACAGTTAAATCAGCAATGATTAAATGGGCACAAGACTTTGGTCATGATATTATGTTCGCTGACTGGGAACAGTTATGGACCACCGGTATAAAGTTTACGGCATGTAATGCCTTAAGAGAGAATATTATGAAAATGATTTATAGGTGGTACATGACCCCAGTCAAGCTTGCAAAAATTTATCATTTGCCCAATAATAAATGTTGGAAATGTAATGAGACCGAAGGAACTTTCTACCACCTTTGGTGGACGTGCCCGAGGATTAAGGCCTTCTGGGAAATGATCTATAATGAAATTAAGAAGGTCCTTAAATGTACCTTTCATAAGAAACCAGAGGCTTTTCTCCTGGGCATGGTCGGCCAATTGGTGTCAAGGAAGGATAGGACGTTTTTTATGTATGCTACTACAGCAGCAAGGATTCTCTTAGCAAAGTATTGGAAGACACAAGAACTACCCACGCTGGAAGAATGGCAGACGAAGGTGATCGATTATATGGGACTGGCGGAGATGACTGGCAGAATCCGTGACCAAGGAAAAGAGACGGTGGAAGAAGATTGGAAGAAATTTAAAGTATATCTTAAGAACTGTTGTAAAATTAATGAGTGCTAAAATGTCAAGGGAAAGGAAAAAAGCAGAATTACAGCTGTAATTGATTAAGTAAAAGAAGAAGGGAAAAAAAGAAAAGGAGTAATTAGTTAATTGATGTGAGAGGTTGCTGAAGAAATTTTAAAATAAGGATGCAGAAAAGGGGAGGCATGGGGAAGTCAGGGAAGTAAGGTTTATGAAAAAGAGGTCTGGAAATTATACGTGTTTTTATGTATTGTTTGTTTTTGTATTGTGTATTGTTTTGTCTTTAATCTATGTTGGAAAATTAATTAAAAAATCATTAAAAAAAACAAAGCAAATCTGTGGTCTTCCAACTTCCACCACCCCTGATCATTGACTTGGGCTGAGGCAGTTAAAGTCCAACAATATCTGGAAAGCCACAGTTTCCTTATTCCTGTACTGGAAGTTCTGCCAAGGTAGTTGAGATTCCATAGCTCAATCCTATGGTATACCGTATTTTTCGCTCTATAGGACGCACTTTTCCCCCTCCAAAATGTGTGTGTCCAAAATATGTGTGTCCTATGGAGCAAATGCAGGCTTTCGCTGAAGCCTGGAGAGCGAGAGGGGTCGGTTCGGTGCGCACCGACCACTCTCGCTCTCCAGGCTTCAGGCAGCTGTCCGCAAGCCTTCTGAGCACAGCGGGAGTTCCCGCTGTGCTCGAAAGGCTTGCGGATAGCTGCCTGTTCTGGGGGCTGGGGCTGGGGTCGGCGGAAGCTTGGGCTTCCCCCGCCCCCAGCCCCGCAAGCTCTGGGAGTGGCCCCGAGGTTGCGCGCAATCTTGCCACCGCTCCTGGGCCTGTTCTGGGGGCTGGGGAAGCTCAGGCTTCCCCTGTCCCTAGCCCCACAAGCTCCGGGAGCGGCGGCGAGGTTGCGTGCAATCTTGCCGCCGCTCCTGGACCTGGGGGGGGGAATAATTTTTTCCCCTTTATTTCCCCCCCCTAAAACTAGGTGTGCCCTATGGTCCGGTGCGCCCTATGGAGCGAAAAATACGGTACTTGTTAAGGCCATTGATTTCAATGGGTTTGTGCAGCTAAATCTTATATAAGTTTGGGCTGCCAGAAGATATCATGTGGGCTAGAAACTTGTCATTTAAAATAAAACCTGAGAATTTCAGGATTCCAAAGGAAGTAGCCCAGTTATACCTTTTCCTGTAGTTGCATGGTAAAACTAGAATACTACCTTTCTAGCTTGAGGGGAAGGGGCTTCTTCAAGCTCCTAAGGCACATTTTATGACAAAATATTACCAGAGGCAGTGGCTAGCTAGGGCTAAAAGGCCTAATTTGTGCTAAATATCTAGGGATGACAAGAAGGGTTCAGGACAGCAATAGCTGATTGAGTTGAAGCACACCTAGTTCCACCTTTAAGGAGTGCATTTTGATCAGTCATTGATTTGGAGCATTTGCAGCAGAATTAAAAGGGCACTTTGCTCAGGTACTGAAATGTACAAGAGACAAGACAAATTTATATTGACATTAGCTGTCATCTGATCAGAGTACCATGCTTAAAGCGAAGAAGTCTTTTGCGCCTCTGTGTCTAGCGTGCTGCAGAGACTGAAGCTATGAACTGGTCCCACTTTTTTTGCCAGATCTCCAGGGCCTTTTTCTTTTGACCAGGTTGCATACTGCTGTAGCTGTGAAAAGAAAAGAAGTCCAGGTCAGAGGAGGAGAAACTGCTTTCAAAGCTGGATGATCAGGTCAAAAGCCAGAAAAGAGCAGAAAATAAAAACTCAGCAAATTGACTGTTTATGCTGCACTGGGTACTGTATATAGGTGCAGCCTAGGAAGAAAATCTCACTGAATTTACAGGACTTGCTGTCAGGTAAGTGTGCTTAGAATTACAGTTGTCATGGCTGTGGTCTCAAGCTCAGAGAAGGATAAGCCAATCATGTTTGGAGCTGTTTTACCACTTACCAGGTCCATGTTCGATAGACCTCTCACCTAACCATCATATAAACTTATTTACCAATGTGGGCAAGTAGTGCAGAGCACAACAGCAGTAAGGGTAATAAGTGGAGTATTCTGTGGTGCATAGGTGTTAAGAAGCACTGCACTGATTTGCTCATTAGCTTCTAAGCCAGTTTCAATTAACTTTTGCTAACCTAAAAAGCTATAAATAAGTTGTGACCAGGGTACGTAAAAGGTCACCTTGTCCCATACAGACCTGCTAACAAGGAGTCTTGTAAGTGGTGCTGCATTTTACAGTATGTCTCCTAACAGCAACACAGAACAGGGTCTGATCTGTGGTGGGACCCACTCTTTAAATACTCCCCTCCCTTGCTATATGGGAGGCACCCACAGTAGAGTGACTGTTAAAACCTAATTTGTTTGCTCAGGCTTTCCCTGACTAGGTTATTGGTACATTTTAAATATCTGGTGAATATCCCATACATTGTTTATTGTTTCCTGCAGTGGTTCCCCGTATGTGGAATGCTCTCCCCAGTGAGGTTTGGCTGACACCCTCATTATACACCTTTAGACGCCAGGCAAAAACGTTCCTTTTCAACCAAGCCTTTGGGTGGTTGACATCCGATGCCCTTTTAAATGTGTTGTGGAGGGTTTATTGATTAGTTGTTGTTCTTACTTTTATTATGTATTTTGTGGTTTTTATATTGTAATTATTGGGACGCGGGTGGCGCTGTGGGTAAAAGCCTCAGCGCCTAGGGCTTGCCGATCGAAAGGTCAGCGGTTCGAATCCCCGCGGCAGGGTGCGCTCCCGTCGTTCGGTCCAGCGCCTGCCAACCTAGCAGTTCGAAAGCACCCCCGGGTGCAAGTAGATAAATAGGGACCGCTTACTAGCGGGAAGGTAAACGGCGTTCCGTGTGCTGCGCTGGCTCGCCAGATGCAGCTTGTCACGCTGGCCACGTGACCCGGAAGTGTCTGTGGACAGCGCTGGCCCCTGGCCTCTTGAGTGAGATGGGCGCACAACCCTAGAGTCTGTCAAGACTTGCCCGTACGGGCAGGGGTACCTTTACCTTTACCTTTATATTGTAATTATATGCCGTAAAGCACCCTGAGATCTATAGATGACAGACAGTATACAAATTTAATTAATAAATTAATAATAACAATACTTACTTTAGAGAGTTTAGTGCTAGTTGTTTCAAAGTCCTCAGATCAGCACTCATCCCTCCAATGCCCATGAACATCTCATAGAGGTCATATGACAGACCCTTTGCTCCAAAGATGGATGGATCATCAGAGGAAACCACGATGTGGTGACCCTCTGCCATCAGGACTGCAGCAGGATGGTTCCTGAGATCCGATACTAACATCAGGACCTTGAAGAGGTACATAACTGAGATAAGTAAATACTGCCATTTTATTTGTGTATGTGTGTGTGTTACATATCTTTAGGCACCAAGCAAAAACATTCCTCTTCTCCCAAGTCTTTGGCTAATTAAACAATCTATTGCCTTCTAATCTGTGGAGGGAGCCTCAAAAGGCATATTGTTTTTTTTTGTTATTATGGTATGTATTTTGTGTTTTTATATTGTAAGCAGTTCTGTGATCTTCAGATGAAGGGTGGTATAGAAATTTAAACAACAAAACAACAATAAATCCTGCCTCATAGGTTGCACTCTAGAAAATTACAACACTTCTGTGGCTCAATCCTATGCATGCATACTTGCAAGTAAGTCCATTGAGTCCAATGGAACTTCTTCCACACAAGTGTACATAGCCTTTAATTGTATGCACTCTTAAATGAAGGAGACTGTCCCAAGTAAATAGAAGAGTTTGGACTTGATATCCCGCTTTATCACTACCCTAAGGAATCTCAAAGCGGCTAACAATTTCCTTTCCCTTCCTCTCCCACAACAAACACTCTGTGAGGTGAGTGAGGCTGAGAGACTTCAGAGAAGTGTGACTAGCCCAAGGTCACCAGCAGCTGCATGTGGAGGAGCAGGGAATCGAACCCAGTTCACCAGATTACGAGTCCACCGCTTTTAACCACTACACCACACTGGCACACTGGGCAGCATCTTTCTCCAACTAAAATCAGCAGGATTTCAAACTGCTGAAGACAGTACACAGATGTCCTGACAAAGAGGCTTGTGGTACCTTAAAATACTAGTACATTTTGTTACAGCATAAGCTTTTGTGGATTACAGTCTACTTCATCAAATATATGAAGTATAATTATTTACTCCTCTCCCCCAAGCTTTACAATAATGTATATATCCTGCAATTATATATATCTATCATGCATCATTCTTATTTTTATCAGTATCATCATCCTTGCTTAAACACACAGACACACACGTGTAAACACACCTCAGGATTAATCCTGCTATCAGAGACAGATAACAGGGCTAGGCTCCCTTCTGTGTAAACAGTACCTGGTTAGAAATAGGGCAGACTTCTATAGGAATATCCATCTTCAAAGCCAAATTCTTAGCTTCTGGGTGCTTGGTAATGGCAAATCCATGGCCAATCCTGCTGGTGTTCAACAGCAGAGCATCCAACAAATTTCTATCTACAGAGGTGCCTTCCCAGTCTGAGTGATAAAGAGAATTCTTACATCAATATAAAACCACAAAATGGTTGTCACAATGGTCCCAAATACATAGAGGGAAAACCCAGATAAGTTGTTTTCTGAAAGAGTAATGTTATGTGAGGCCTAAAAAGGGATTGCCAGAACTTTTCTGTGGTCTAGCTTGATGTTTTTTCATTATTTGCTTTGTTGGTTTTTTGTTTCCTTTCTGCCACATCTCATTTTACCAACCATGTGAGTCAAGTTAAATCACATGCCTAAAGCGGCCAAGTGGATTCATAGCCATGAATCCCAAAATCCAGCCTTTGCATCTGGCACTCTTGAGGATTTAATGCCTCCTGTGCACATCAATACCATGTTTAAAGTGGCCCACTCCACTCAAAATGGCAAACCATTCTGTGCTTGGTAAAGCAAAGTACAGTGGCACCTTGGTTTTTGAACGTCTTGGAAGTAAAATGTTTTGGTTTTTGAATGCTGAAAACCTGGAAGTAACTGCTTCGGCTTTTGAACACTTTTCGGAAGTTGAACGTGCCACACAGCTTCTGTATTGAGCTTTTAATGCAAATTAGCCACTCAGATTTCATCCAATACCTAGGATCAACCAACAGCAAACCCTTAACCACCCTTAACCACCCGATGAATGGAAAGGGTGCCTTCTTTCCAGTGGCGTAGCGTGGGGGGTGCAGGGGGGCCCGGCCGCACCAGCCACAACATCTGGGGGGGGCGCTCGCACTCGCAGCTCTCTGCCCCTACCTGGCTCACTCACTCTCTCTCACTTAGGGGGCGCAAATTACTTGCCTTGCCTCGGGTGCTGACAACCCACGCTACGCCACTGCTTCTTTCCGTTATCAATGTTTCAAGGCTTTATTGCCATGGTACTAGAAAAACCTTTCAATTTCCGACAACCATGTTTCACTGTAACTATATTGCAGAAAGCTAGCAAACATGACCATGTGACCCAATCATCCTCCCTGAAAACTCCTCTGACATCTTAGTAATAGCTCAGCCGACAGATGGAGCAGCAGATTGTCACCCTGCTAAGTCTCTGTGAGCAGAGGCTCCTATGTGGCAAAGCATTCTAGGACTGCTTATGCAAAACAGTAATCCACGTGAACTCTGGCAGACGCCACAGGCTTTGGCAAAATGTTATTTGCTACTCAACATGCCTATCACAAGGGGGTTTGCCAGTACATTTCAGATGACTGGTACAAGCACAATCCTATGCATGCGTGATCAAAGTCCAGCTGAGTTCAATAGGTCTTTCTTCTATGTATGTTGTGCCTAGAATTGCAGCTGTAATATTAGATTGGTCCACTGACACACACACCAATGTATGCCACACAAAGGAAGAATACTGTTTATTTAGTTTCATCAAAAAGGTCATCAGAAAGTTCTGAACATAATGATTTAAGAAAAGCCCTGCTGAATCAGACCACAGACCCAACTACTCCCACTTCCTGTTCTCAAAGTGGCCAACTAGGTGACTATAGCAAAATCACAGACAAGGCCTGAGTATAACAACACTCTTTCCACCTGTACTTCTCCTTGCTGTGGGATTGCCATATTTTGAAAAGTACAAACCAGGACAACCTGAAAGTTGTTGAAATATTTTTAGGATGACCATGAAATTGTTGAGCTTTCTTTTATAAAATGGCAAAGAAAACCCCACAATTTTCGATTGACTTGCCTAAGATCCGCCTTTCGAAAATTCCCTCATGACGTAAATTTCGCCTTTGAAATCCTGGGCATACGGCAACCCTACCTTACTGATCAGTTTTGATTCTCTTAAGAACATAAGAAGACAGACCTTCCAAAGTGTCCCTATTTTCCAGGGACATCCCTGATTTAGAGAAGCTGTCCCAGTTTCTGATTTGATCCTGGAATGTCCCACTTTTCCTTAGGATGTCCCTATTTTCATTGGATAAATTTTAGAGGGTATGGAGTTATCTGATCCCTGAGCTGTCTGAAGGCAATCCTGTACAGGGAAGTTTTTTTTAATGTTTAATGTTTTGTTATGTTTTTATATATGTTGGAGGCTGCCCAGAGTGTGGGGTATAAATAGTAAAATTATCATTGTGGAATGGGACGTCCCTATTTTCACCGGAGAAATGTTGGAGGATATGAGAAGGGCCCTGACGGATCAGGACAGGGGTCATCTACTCCAGCATCCTGTTATTACAGTGGCCAACGAGATGCATAGGGGAAGCCAACAAGCAAAACCCAGGTCGGGGCGGTGGGGGGGGTGGCAACCTGGCCTGGGCCTTGGAGGGCTAAGTCAGCAGGGGCGCCCTCCCAAGGGCTGGCTGCTTTTCTGTTTGAGTTTATAACTTTATTCTAACAAGACTCCTCAGATAAGCTCTGCACAGGCCTGGCAAAACCTGAGTGCAACAGCACTCTCCCCACCTGTTATACCCAGCAATTGACATTCAGAAGCATACTGGCTCTAACAGTGGAGGTAGAACATAGCTATCATTGCTAGTAGATTGTACTGCATAAATAGCAGCCGCCACCGCCACAGCAGCATGTAGGGTTGAATAGAAAGGCTTGGATCAGATGATCTATTTGTCTCTTACAAGCCTATGGCCCCCTACCCATATAAGAGTCACAAACAGTAAAGCAGTGAAGGAAATTGATGCATGCATTTTGGTCGGTTACAAAATGTGTGCGCGTACACACACACACGTGTTTTGCAGACATAGATTGGATTTGAAGGCTTTTAAAGAACTTCCTGATGGCACTACTTTGGAAGGTGATGGACTCTCCTTTGTTAGGATTTTTTTAAAGTAGAGGCTGGATGACCACCTACCATGGACATGTAGCAATAGACTTCCTGTGTTGGCAAGAGGCTGAACTAGTTGGTCTTTAGGGTTCCTTCCAACTCTTATACTTCTATATACAAATCTTTATTACAATTTGAATATCCATTCAATGTGTGTGGGGACAGTTTCAACACTGTTTTCAATAGGACTTACTCACAGATAAGTGTTTGTAGGATTTCAGTCCTCATCTTCTAGTTACCCCTTACTCTTATTTATTTCGTTTAACAAAATTTATATATGCTTACTTGACAGAAGACCTCAAATCATTAGTGGGATGTGCCCGTACTTACTTGTCTCACCAGCATGAAAGAAATATGGCAATTTATCTCCCAGAGTTTCCGGAAGGGTCAAGGCATCCTTTAGTTCCCAGAGGGCCTTTCCTCCATCTTCCCAGCCAACCTGAGAAGGAAATTGCTCTTGATAAGCATTTAATGCTTAGATCTTCTATAGATCAGGAGGAAGAACCTGCACTGAAATGTCATAACTTATGTTTTTATTTTAAAAATCATTTCAACCTGATGTTCAATTTGTGAAATAAGGTAAAAATAATCTGCAGCCATAACCTTGCGGCAACAAGCATCTTTTTTTATTTCCTTTGTTTCTTAAGTGGACAGAACTACACAAGGCACTGAAACATAGGTAAGGAGACCTGCTTACCCATGTTACACTGCACAAGTGAAAACATTTCTCATTGAACTGCTCTGAACAACCCTACCATGAAGCAGAGTGTGGTAGCTGCCTCAGGCGGCAAATTCTGAGAGGTAGAAAGTGGCTAGAAAGGTATGCTGGGTGGTCTGTCCTGCAGCCCCTAAGCTAGCTTGCTGCCGCAACATGGCTGTTGTGCCAATGAGGTGACATGAGATGGCCCACCTCAGGCAGCATGTTGCACAGGGGCGGGAAATCCCAATCTGCCCTCGGCAGCAGCTTCTAACTCAGCTTTGGGTAAACTGAAGATGCGGCTGAAAGCCATAACCAGGGAGAAGCATTGCTGTTGGTATCCTTCCACCCTGCAGACATGCCTTCCTGCCTTAAGATCATGGCAGGGTTATAGGGCTCTGGACAAACTTCAGATCCCTTCCAGTTCTTGAATTCCGTGATTCAATTTCTTACTTCACAAGGAATAGTAGGAAGTATTTCCAAGGAATGCCATACATCAAATATATTTCACCTAAGATGCTGCAGCAATTTGTCATGGCCTCAGCTATATGGTCAAAAGGTACATTACATCGCATGCAAGAGGGTTTTGATAGGATTGTAGCCCAAGGAAACCTGTGTCCACCACCATAAATATCATCTTATTGTGCCCTGCTTTCCTTCTAACACAAAAAACAAAACCAAGTAAGAAATATAGGAGATTACCAAATCAAAGCCTGCCATAGTTTCCGGGAACTCTGCTCTGAGTGCCATAGCTGCACGGACCGCTTCTTCAATTTGGGGGACATTCTCATTTCTGAAAATTAAAAGGAAGAGAAGAGTACCAAGAGAGGGAGAAAAAAAACTAGGTACTGTCTAAAAAGGCTATTTTCAAATTATGAATCAGCCACTGGATATTTAGATGCTTTCTGTTACATGCATTGGTGTGTACATAATTCTAGCAATGAGTCCACTCTGAAAGCGCACCACATTCACCATCTTTTGTGCACAGATACAAACTTCTCCTGATCAAACTCACAGGAAATCTGTACTTCCCATTTGCTTCAGAGTTGAATTTGCACAGCACTAATTGTGTGGTCCTTGTGCCAACCACAAAGCTGACTTCTCCCATTTTCAGAGCAGCTTATTTTTAAAGAGTTTTAAATTCTCTGACCAAAATTTGCAAGTTGTTTCAGAAAGAAATAAGTACATAACATGGCCAGCTGACTTAGAGCACAAAGGAAAAGCAAAGAGCAAAGAGGATGAGGCAATCTGCATTTGAATCAGAGGTCTTACATCAGTGGTGAGGAACCTCTAGTGCCCAGGCCTCCCCATTCCCCACGCCCACTTAGCCTAACCCTGGCATCTTATATGATGTCAGGTGTGGGGCAGGTAAAGACACAGCTGAACCAAAAGGGGATTTGCAGCTGATTGGTGCCACTTCATTAGCACTGTGAATGGTGTTTGGCAAGCTCCCTAAATTAGCTGATCTGTACGGAACCTAAATATTTCTCATTAAAACAGTTGACTTAGGAGGATTTTTTTAAAGTGCTATTTCCGATGGACAGAGCAGAAGCTCAGTACTAGCCACTAACTATCTGAGTCAACAAAAGATGTAATATGGAGACTTTTCAATTTTTTTATTAGACTACTGTCAAATAGAGCCCTTTGCATGCCGAAAGCACACAGTTTTGTTTTTAATACAATCATAGGTATGAAAATTATGTTTTTATATTGATTAAATTAAATTCCCCTCAGAAGAACTTAAACTCTTCTGCATGGGTAATAGTGGATGGGGAAATGAGTATAAGACAATATGTTGTATATGATAGCGTAATGTTGCTGAGGCTCTCCTCCACTATTTGTTCAGCTGTCCTTACTTTCATAAGCAAGGGGAAATTTAGCTGAGAGTTTGACTACAGTGTCACCAGCAGAAAATATATCTGTAACCTGTTGATGTTCATAGAGGTCCAAAGCTAAAAGGGGTTCATTTTGAAGTTGCTGCACCTAAGCTGTGTCAGAGATTATCAAATACTAAAGGCAGCAGACAACAAGGCATGAATGGAACTGCCTTAAAATAAGTCAAAGTATTCTTCCACAAAATGGTGCAACATCCCATCTTAGTTTGAGCCAATCCAAGTAGATTAATATCCCATGCACCCTGTGCTAACATCAAGCCTCTACCCCACTTCCCCTCATGAGCTTCCAAACACCCCCCCTCCTACAAACCTACCTATGAGTCTCCAAATCCCTCCCTCTTCTCTCCCAGCCAAACTCCTATCCATCCACACAGTTGACTTTGGCTCCTATAGCAGCAATAAGTAGAATAGAGGGAAGGAGGGAGGGAAATTGCTTCCCCCTTCTGGAACATAATGTGCTGCTATGCATTAAAATCTGAGCCAGAGAATAATTATAGAATCGTAATGTTCACCTCATATTTGAAGCAAACAAGGCAACTCTCCAAGGTTCATGTTTCTGAGCCAGAGGATACAAGTATTGGCATCATCACAAGGCACTAATATAATAGATTGTTTCAATGAGCACAAATGAGGTGGGCTTCTTTTCATTCAATTTTCCGAAGATGTTTTTGTTACCGGTAATTTTTCTGAACTGAATGTATTTTTCTCATCTATAATGACCTGCAGTTTCTTCCAACAATAAAATGTGAATGAGATAAGTTCAAATATATGTGTTCTGGCAAAGTCATCTAAATATTCCTTACCTGTGTGCTGTGTATATAATCTTTGCACCAACAAAGTCTGGGTGGTCCTTTACAAACTGTTGGGTTGTACTTTCATAAACTGCCATAGACCAGCGTTTGTCATGCATGGTACCATCCAACTCATATACCTGTGGGCAGAATATGCAAGCATAAAAGTAAAGGCAAATGAGGGGGCAGTCTGTCATAAAACAAGAAAAGAACAACCAGCACCAGAACTCCTCAAGTTTTGTTCCTGACTGCAGTTTTAGCCCAGGTTCAACCATGAGTCCAGCTTTGGACAATAAGCTAAGCCAAACCTTGCTTTAGCTCAGTACAGGAATAAAAACAACTGAGGAGGAGCAAAGTGGCTGCAAACTCCCCTCAAGGAACCGTCACATTCAAGCAGAGAGTTTATCCACACTTCCTCTTGTCCCCCTGCTTTCCCCCAGGGTTTTCTCTATGTTCCGATTTAGAACTAAACAGTGGTTTTTCACTGGGAAAGGAATGGGGGGGGACTGCTCAGACCAGTGTCTACAAAGTATGGGTCATGCAGAAAACGTGTTTTATTTATAATTTTTACAAAATACAATTACATAAAATGATAGGAACGTAATGAAGTATTGTTGGAGCAGGAAAACATAGAATCATGGAACTGGAAAGGACCCCAAAGGTCATATTTCTAGTGCAACCCCCTGCAATGTAGGAAACTCAGCTAAATCATCCATGACAGATGCCATCCAACCTTTGCTTAGAAACCAGAGTCCAGAACCTTCCAAGGGAGATCCATCTTCCATGTATTATAAAAAAGTAAACAACACTTATTTGACCCCAGTTATTGGACAAGCAGGGGGGAACCTACAGAGACGGTCCAAAAGGCGCACACGGAGGTCTGTATATAGGGGATAATTTAAAAAAGCAAGTGGTCCTCACTGACCTGGTGCAAAAAGATCTTGTCAAAGGGAGGAGCCCTGGATGCCTAGATAAAACACTATAGTCCCACACACCCCAGTGTGTCTTTCTGCTGAGTAGACAGTTCTGAGATGCAAGTCAGCAGCACCAGATGACCCTGCACAGCTAGGCTCTGGTATGGATTGCACCCTGCGCCTTGCAGAGTCAGGTCCAGGCTGCCCTCTCCCACCGGAAACAAACCAGAACTGCTCCAATAAAACACATGTGGCAAAAAGGAGTGCTAGGCCCTGGTGGGCTGCCCCCTTACACACTTGTGATTGACTAAATGGATAGGTAACCACTCAAGATTATTTTTTTTATAAAAAAAAAGATTTCCCCCCTTCACATCTCATTTCCCTCTGTGGCCCCCTAGCATCGTGCTATGCCCCCCCCATTTACACATTTTTTACCGGGGTCCTCTTGGAATATCCTGGGGGTCCCCAGGGGACCACATGGCCCCCGGTTGGGAAACACTGCTCTAGACGTTGTATGACATATTGGAAATTATTCATTGGGCTGAGGAACTTCTATCTAGCCCTTGGGACTTGCCACACACCTTCTCCTATGGTCACATCCTTAGGAGAAGACTTCATATCTGACATGAATGCCTTTGAACTCTGATAATACATCTTGGATGCCTGGGCAGAGAACAGAGGTGGGTGTGGGAATGTGTGTAGGAACTAGCCTACTGTACAAAGGTGAAATTTACATTAGTACTTTCAGTACCTACTTTTGCCTCTGGCCCTGCCCACCTCTGACGCCCCCAGAAGGTTACCTAGATGGGAATGCAGCCCTCCGTCTGAAAACAGTCCCCCGACCCTATTTTAAATGTTAAAGTATGATAATCTGCCCTAGATTAATATCCTTGTCTAAGTAATGTCCTGATAGTGGTCTTTAGCATTGTAATCAACTATCTATTAATATGTTCAAAATGCTATAGGTCATACTCTCAGAACTGACTATATTAATTATCAGCAGCTAATGACATAGACCAAATCCTGTGGAGTATTACTTGCCCCCTTTCCCCTAGTTACCAACCCAGTGGCAAGAAGGATGTGTGGAAGGTTGTGGGCATAAGAATAACTAGTAGCTGAATCTGTGCTGAGAGATCATATAATGAGGTTTTGGACTACTATCCTCTATCATCTCAAAACAATTAGAATTCTACATATTCCTGAAAGATACTGGGTTTATTTAGGCATAAGAGTTAACCACTTTTTGTTTAACTGACATTAGTTTAAATTATCTCTGGACAAGGTTGGAGCAGAGCTAATGGGCAGATGTTAGTGCCATAGTTACCAGTCTGGGAAACAAGACATTTTTGGTACCCATAATAATAATATTTTTAAAAGAGTACAACAGGTTTACTCAGGTATTGGTCACAAAATATCTCCCTGGATGGGAAGAGGAGCCCCAGGAAGGAAGGAAGGAAGGAAGGAAGGAAGGAAGGAAGGAAGGAAGGAGATTACCGGTGGCAGCATAGCCCTTATCTCAGCATATTGTATATTATCTTCATAGAGCTCCAACAGCCCCTGGTAGAAATAGGCCTTGAACACAGGTGCATAGCTGATAAGGCCAGAAGCAGCGATGAAGGCATTTTCAAATCTCTTCCAGATGAAAGTCTGAGAAGGGTAGGTCACCTCTGGAATATCTGTTACTAGAGTGAGGTTGCTCAACAAACTGGGGGTGGGGGGGCGGAGAGAGAAAGCAAAAGAGAGAGAGTTGTAAGACTTTCGTGTCTGTGATCTCAATTGACAAAAACCTAAAACACTTTCTACTGACTACAACCTCAAGGCTAACCGTATTCATACAAAAAAAATATTATTTACCCTAACACATGTGTGGTACAATCCTAATGGGTGTGAATTTTTTTTAGAAATCAATTCCACATAATTTAATGGGGCTTATTCAAGTGTGTTTAAAATTGTAGCCTTAAGAGCATAATCCTGTGCATGTTTACTGTGTTCAGTGAAGCTTACTCCCAGGTAAAGTGCGCACAGGTTTGCAGGCTAAAGTGTTTGCTGGCAGTTTTGAATGAATATTTATTTATAGCCCACCTATTGTATAATATACAATTAAAATAATAAAATAAACACCACCAAACCAGAATAACGAAACACCACCACACAACTGCAATGTGCAGTAATGCATTGCCATGTAGGATGTGTTTGATAAGCCCGGGCCAGTATGAAAGTGTGTGATAGGCAAGTGTGTGAATTTAGCTGACCCAAGCCCAACTGAGAAAGCGGACTTTTTTCTTTTCTTTTTGCCCGTTCAACCTCTTTGAGGAGTCTACTGTTTTCCTACAGCAGTGCAAACTCTCCCAAGCCCTTGTTGAGTGCGCCTGCTTGATCATATGTGTGGCAAATGGAGAGCTACACCATACATTTTAAGGACACCCAATGCACATTTAAAGTACATGACTTCCCCCAAAGAATCCTGGGAATTGCAGGGAAATAGTTAAGGATGCTGGGTATGGTACGTCTGTGAGGAGGCAACTACAGTTCCTAGGATTCTTTGGGGAAAGTTATGAGTTTTTAATGTGCATGGGATGTGCTTTAAGAGTACAGTGTGGATCTGCCTACAGTGACAATAAAAATATAATACTTAGCTAGAGTCCACATGAATAATTCGCCAACGCCATACACTGTGAAGGACAGCATGAGAAGGAAAAGAACAAGTGATTAAACTTAACAGAGTGCTGTGTCTATAATAAGGCCATGGGCCCAACTTTAGAGAGGACAGTCTTCTATTTTGAAAGGCTGTCCTTTATTTGAAAATGTATTCTATTTAAGGGTTGCCTAGTCCTGTTGTGGGGCATATATTGTCTATCATACATGGACACATCTATTAAGTGCATCCCAGCCTAATAATTCCAGTTTTCCTGCTAACTGATTCTTGTTAATTATTACAGAAACGAGTTTGAACATTTCCCTATTTATACCAAACACTCAGAAACAATTTTTAGCAACCTAATATAGATCCTGTTTTGTAGCTAATGATTTCTGTGTTCACTGATCATTGCTGTTGTTGCTTGAGAGGGACTATAAAACAAGCGTTTTCTCATTTGCGGCTTTTTCTCTGCCTAGTTCAGAGTAAGAACAACATGCCTGTCAGCTGTGGCTTGGCATATATCACACACCCATGTGAATAATATGCAAATATGCTCATTGTATGCCACAAAATATGCAAATTATGTCTGAGAGACACTGGCTCGTGCTGTTTCTCCATCAGGACCCTTAATAATGAACAAGTTGCTTGCTTCTGGCCTAGGCTTCCCTCATTCCTTTGCTATGACAACAGTGGCCACTTCCAAAGAGCAGTTTATGTTTGGTGCTTTGCCTAATCTCAGCCTAAGGAATTAAAAGTACACATCATCACACATGTGAGATCTGGATTGAATTCATACTTATTATCTTTGTCTAAAAATCTTTATCGTTCATCAGGAAAATTGTGTTCCTACAGCTTGCAAGTGGCAGAGTTGCCAATTGCCATAAAACAAAGTAGCATTGGGCCTGGTCAGCAGATGGGATGGGAGATCACAAAATGGAGTCTGCTTGCCACACATTTAATATGCCAGCTGCTGTTATCCTACCTAAGGAGTTCCTTCCTGTGCTGGGCTGCAGCTATTTTTCACTCCATTTGGTAGTTTATTACTTTTATTAAACACATTTTTCTGGGAGGGTCTTATGTATAAACAAAGAAATCCAGTAGGTCTACCTCATCCAGGGCGATTCCCCCCCCCCAAAAAAAATAACAACTGCCCACCAGTTGAGGAATTCAGAGTTAAGTTTCCACAGCAACATTAACTCTGCCCTTTTCTGCATGACAATGGAGGTCTTTCGTTACATTAACACACAAAAGATCGGGCAAGGCAAGAAAGTACTCTGTAAACAATGCCACATAATGGAAAGGAAATGGACCATAGCTAGAGAAGGGGACACAGAGCAGCATTTTCAACTAGTTTATATATCTGGCAGCAACAGGCATTTCAGGCCTATTCAGAGGAGAACTGCTTATGTGGTGACATAGCAACCAGGTGACCCTCAAAACCAGGAATGAATGAAGTGCCAGAGGCATCTTTTGCAAACCTATCTGAAGTGCAAGAGCCAAATAATGGGAATTTAAAAAGGCAGAATCTCCTCAAGCTCAGGGGACAGAGCAAGGTAGGGGGAGGGGAGGATGAGAAAGATCTCATGGTAAATTGGGAGGCAGGAAGATACTATGTAATGTCTTTTTCACAAGCCTTGGGCAGCATGGTCCTCTGTGGGGCGGAGAGGGCAGAAGTTTGATCCTCTGCATGTTTACTCAGATCTCGCCATAATCAACAGGAATTACTCCCTGATAAGTGAGCATAAAACTGCAGCTTTACTGTAGCACCAATATGTGTCAAGTATACACTCACTGTTAACTTTTGAGTTAACCTCTAAAGTCTGCAGTGTTCTGGCACTAAAGTTTTTGTAAATCAAGCTGCCCTGGTTTTCTCCTCCTTCACCATATACAGCAAACATGAGGAAAGTAAGAGTACATTTGAGATAAAAAATAAAACAAGCCCCCAACCCCATTTGAATTAATTGGCTGCTGCTGCTTTGTAAGTAAGAGGATGCAAAGCACTTGCTATGGCTAGCACATTCCAGAGAGAGGCGCTATTTTCCTGCCTCCAACCTTCATATCCTGTAAGCAGAATGCAAAATGTATGTAAAATATGATTTAAACATGGCTGTCTGCCAGGTCTTGGAACGATAGAATTCAGATTAATTAATTCACTGAATTAATTCAAAAATCTTTCAGGTACACCTATACTTTATGGTAGAACTCTGAATTAATTCAAAAATCTTTCAGGTACACCTATACTTTATGGTAGAACTCTTTATTGGGGATTCTACTTTCAACCTCCCTCCATCAGGAGAGCTGTTCATTTATTGCTGCTCTTTGTTCCCTGTTAATTAACTAGTTCTTGATCTACAAGAAGAACTCATCTCTTATTCTATGACTGCTAAACTTACTCAGGAGTCTTTGGTGATGTACTTTGTTGAAAGCTTTTTGAAACGTCAGGTACACAATGTCATCTAGGTAATCTCTATTTATATGCTTGTTGATACTCTCATGAGACAGGACTTGTTCTTTCATATGCTTGGTTGATTTATCTTTAACAAGAATATCCCGGGGACAGAAGTTGAGCCAACAGGCCTGTAATTTCCAGGATCCCCTTTTAAAAAATTGGTGTCATATTGGTTTCTTTACAGTCCTCAGATACAGGGGCTTATTTTAGGGACAAGTTACATATTTCTGTTAGAAGACCAGCAACTTCAAATTTGAGTTCTTTGAGAACCCTTGGGTGGGTGCTATCTGAACTCAACAATTTGTCGATGTTTATTTGTCTGTTAGTCCTGGAACTTGGTCTCTCACCACCACTATTTGCCTCAGTTCCTCAGACTCCTTCCTGTGAAAGTTAGTTCAGGTGCAGGTAACTGCCCTATATCTTCTGCTGTGAAGATAGATGCAGAAAAGTTGTTACTTCTCTGCAGTCTCATTATCCTCCTATAGCACACCTTTTACTCCCTTGTCATCCAAGGGTCCAATTGGTATAAAGAAGGCCTTGCATTAACAGAGCAAAGTGGATATTCAGATGGAACAAAATTGTAGCACGTACAGTATATAATGTATTTAAATAGCAACCAACTCTTGCTCCAGTTGAATAGGCAGAATAACAGTGGAATTCATTTGTGACTAATCACAAGCTTTCACCTACCTCTTATCAAATCCAGTTATATCCTTCAGGTTATTGCGGTAGGTTTCTAACAGCACCCACTCAGAGCAATCAGGAGGCAGATCCTTGGGAGGAAGAGGACTGGAGAACTTGAAGCGGACATCCCATAAAGGGGTGAAGCAGATGTAACAGTTTGGCAGGTAGCTGGCATTGTACACTAGCCAGTCAACACTCAATATAGCATAGTCATGCAAGTGTAAAGCACCACCTGTGGAAATGGAGGAGACAAGTGTAACAAAACAAGACAGTGCTTGAATAATACAGTACTTGGAAAAACTGAAGTTATCTATATTGTCATGGTATTAGTGATGATGTGACTGTGATGGGATAAGCCAGGTCAACAATACATTTTCCTGCCTGAGACAAGACAAGAATATCCCCCAATCCCATTCCACATACAGGAAGCACATTTACTGACATGAATCTTACTTCAACACTGGTGAATGGACTGCATCCTCCAGCACAAGTAACCATCGAAATAAAAAGTTTTGCAGAGTGCTGGAAAGAATTTCAAACAGTCAAAAATGACAAAAGAAGATGATCCAGTTCAGTCTCACAGGCAATACCAACATTTGAGTGAAGCTGATGGGCTTTGGCAAAAGCTCAGCCCATGCTGATGCTTGAATAGAAATTGACTGGTAGCCCTTGGGAATATTGTACTGCTACACAGGTGTGTGTGTGTGTGTGTGTGTGTGTGTGTATAAATAATTTTGGCCATATTAAAAAAAGGAAAATATTAAATAATTATATTAAAATGGTAAAAAACAAGGCAAAGTATTAATAATTATAAAATTAATACTTTACATTGTTTTTAACTGTATAAGTAATAGTATACTTTTATTGTGTTTTATGTGCTTTGTTTTCTTCTTATCTTCTCTCCTGGTCATTGACCATATATATATATATATGCTACACAGATGGATTGTGCTCCAAATGGACTCATAGGCCACTGGAGGAGGCTGTAGCTCAGTGGTAGAGCCGATGCTTTATATGCAGAAGGTCCTAGGTTCAATCCCCAGCATCTCCAGGTAAGGCTTGGAATAGATTTCTACTTGAAACATTGCTGTGGCAATGTTCTTGTAAGTAAATTGCTCACCTAAACTATGGTTGGAGATGAACTTTGTTTTTATGCAGCATTCACACAGACTATGTGCCCCAATATCCATTGAAGATTTTAATAGGTCTGAAGCTCCAATATAAGAGAAATAGAAAGCTATCATTTGCATATTTTCCAATACAGTGGTACCTCGGGTTAAGTACTTAATTCGTTCCAGAGGTCCCTACTTAACCTGAAACTGTTCTTAACCTGAAGCACCACTTTAGCTAATGGGGCCTCCTGCTGCCGCCGCGCCGCCAGAGCCCGATTTCTGTTCTTATCCTGAAGCAAAGTTCTTAACCTGAAGCACTATTTCTGGGTTAGCGGAGTATGTAACCTGAAGTGTATGTAACCTGAAGCATATGTAACCCGAGGTACCACTGTACCCTACTTTAAAAGACTTGAAAAATTTTTCCACAGCACTAACATCAGAAGTAAGCTTCCGCCTGCTGTCTTTTAAGGAGCAAGCATATCTCTGTGCTTGACAATGTATGATGTCAGGCGACCGACTAGTGGGTGTGGTTTGCCCAACATGGTCTCACAGGCCAAATCAGAGACCTGACAGGTGTAATAAGACCTAACAGCCACAGGTTCCCCACTCCTGTTATACAGAATCTTCCAGTATAATCACATGAGCCTCTGTAAAAGTTCACTTAATACAACACCCGGAGAGATGCCATAAGAATGCAAGTTGGAATTACTACCTTTGGGCATCTTTTGTAAGATGCTGAAAACATTACTTTGATCAATGAGGTGTTTGGCTTTGAAGAAATGCATGCTGGGTGGAAACAGTCCTGTTTTCATAGCTTCAGCTACTTCCTTCTCTTTGAGATGCATGAGCTTCTTATTGGCATCTTCTTCAAGTTCTGTTAGCACAAGGTTTCCACCTACACGACTGGCATTCTCCTTTTCAATTAGTAAGTCCCGCTCATTCAATAATGGCATGGATACACAAAGAGAAACCCAACTGAAAACGATGATCGCTGGCCATTTAGTTCTCTGAGCTACTTGAGACATCACTTGAGGGATGCACCTAGAAAACACAGATGCAAAAATAAATGATAAAAATCAAACACACTATAGGTGCAAAATAGGGCCAATGAGAGGTATTGCCTGAGAAGAGTTCAAGGGACCACACAGAGAGGCCAGGAAGGCCATATTTGGAACCCTGCCTCACGTTCACCAAACCTGCCTTTAAGCGGTGCATTGATTACAATACACACAATGCCATGGGTAACAAATCTGGATTTAATACTCAGTATTTAGGTAATTAGAAGCTATATATCCCATTTTTTAGAGTAAACTCTTTCAAGGCAGTTTGTGCCGGAAGCGGCTTAGTCATGCTGCCCACATGACCCAGAAAGCTGTCTGTGGACAAATGCTGGCTCCCTTGGCCTGAAAGCGAAATAAGCGCTGCAACCCCATAGTTGCCTTTGACCGGTCTTAACTGTCCAGGGGTCCTTTACCTTTTACAATAAAATACAGAAATGCAATAAAAATTAAAAAGCAATGAATACAAAAGATACAATGAAAATAAAATACTGGAAAGTCAGCAACTAATAAAACAGGAAGCCCACCAAACATTGCTAAAATGTAATCAAAACCAATAGCAAGAGCAAGGCAACAATAATTTAAAAAAACATCAAGGGAAAGTTGGCAAAAAGGATGTATCTTCAATATCTTTCTGAAAGCCCTGTAGGGTTGTAGTCTGGCAGAGTAGTGTTAACCACATGTGAGAGGGCTTGGGAGTTAAGTACATTTCCCCCTCATCATCTATTGTGTCCTCACATATACTTCAATATTTGGGCTCCTTCTTAATGTATCCCATGGCTACTTCTTATTGCAACAACTTTCTGCTATCCTCTGCCCACCCTACAGTCTAGTGAGCAGCCACCTGATCTTGTGGCAAAGAGCCTTGGGAAAACTGACTCAGTCACGAGCAAGCACACTGCATTTATAGAAAACTCACTCTGCTTGTAGTGAAAGATTACATGAAAGCCTCACACAGAAACACACCTGCAATTCACTTACTGTTGACTTTTCCATCCTTGCATATAGCACGCAAAATGCTTTCACAAGCAGAAAGTCAGAGCCCAGTCAGCAAATAGAAATGCAGGTTAGTGCTACAAAACTGTTCTAATACGGGACAAATGAAACAGAACCTATTCTAATTCCACTGTAAATAGTTAATTGTCCCTGTATTTAAGACACACACCACTGCTGTGTACACACCATATATTTAAAGCACACTTTCCAAAGTATCGTGGGAACTACAATTTCCAGCGCCCTTAACAAACTGCAGTTCCTAGACTTCGAGGGGGGGGGCATGTTTTAAATGTGTGGTGTTTATGAAGAGTTAGGGCAAAGAGGAGCTACTGTTTACATATACGCTTATGTAAGAGGCCTATTAAATGCAGTGAGACTTACTTACATGTACAAAATTAGGATGTATGGAAACATCACTTCAAACAGTCATGGCTGCACCCAAAGAATCCTAGGAACTGCAATTTATTAAAGATGCTGAGAGTTCTTAGGAGTCCCCTGTTCCTGTCACAGAGCTACAATTATCACAGCTCCCTAGGAAGGGAGATTGATTGCTAAACCACTCTTCAAATTGTACCTTTGTGAGGGGAATAAGTGTTTCCTAACAGCTCTCAGTTCCTTTAACAAAGTACATTTCCCAATATTCTTAAGGGGAAGCTATGACTGTTTAAAGTGGCGTAATTCTGCTTTAAATGTGTAGTGTGCTATGGGCACATCAGTCCCAATCCAGCACAGGAAGAAATGCCTTGCTGGTCTCTGGCACTTTTCTGTCTTAAAAAGGGAAACATGGGTGCTCCCTCACTCTCCTGGGAATCAAGAGAGAGCAAAAGTGGGGTAGAAAAATAAAGGATTCATAAACAAAGGAGAGTTTATATTTTGGTTTATGCTGCTGTTGCTTTTATTTTGTAAGGACTTCATGGAATGCCTCAATGTGTCTGGCTGTTAACCAGAAGTTTGGTGATTTGAACCTACCTAGGGGGATGCTTGTTGGCAGGATTCCTGCATTGCATGGGGCTGGACTAGATGACCCTTGGAGTCCCTTCCCACTCTACATTTCTATGATTCTATGCTTTGTATAAAGAAGTAAACAAGGTGCAAACAGAGGGCAGAGTTATGTCACTCACCATCACCAATGATGTTATGGGCACTAGCCCATAGGCATCCATAATGACACTTACACAACCAGAGTCCAAATTGCACAAACTGTTGCATCATATATATGGGCCAAGGGCTGTCAGAGTAGTTTACACCACTTAAATTTTGTTTGTTAAAACAAGTCATTATATAAAATGATCTCCATGCACTTGAACTTTCAGAAGTTGTGATTTCCCATAAGTGTTCTGAGCAGGCTACAGTAAAGGCCTGCCATGAACATTATATTCTGACTTGTTAATCACTATCATAGTCTGCCTATTTTACACAGATTTGTAATACACTCCTAAAGAAGTTCCAGGAATATATGATTGCGGTTGGAGCCTGGACAAACTAAGCAGGAATTCTTAAACTACTATAGTAAATATTTTTATGGATTTACTCATCCAGAAGTTCTAATCGCTAAATTTAAAAACCCCCAAATCCCTGCAATTAATAATCCTTCAACTAGGTTCTATCAGATGCTCCTAGAAATATGCTTCCTGTAGCGTGTTCCCATTTATGGATTGGAACTTCAACTGCAGGTAGACAAAACCTGGGACATTCCATCTCAGGATGCATTTCCAGGGGCTTATTTGTGCTAAACAGGGTTGATAATGAGCACTTTAGGCATATCATTTATTGCTTGAGAACAACAGTCAGGACTAGATCAGCCCCCCCACTCCCTTTCTTATTCTAAGATGTGCTTTATTTTGCTAAGCTTCTCTGCTGCTGACACAGGAATCTTACCCACCCAGAATAAGCTAACAAAGAGCAAAAAAAGTCCTT